TGAAAAACAAAAACAAAACAAAACACTATGCACAATAAAATAGGAAATAATGGCACAAATTTTTACAAGCAAAAACACTCAGGTATACTAATAACAGTCATACCCAGTATTACAGTTATGAGCAGACAAACTGTATTTATAAAGAAATACATCAAAAAGGGAAATGTATAAATGTATATTGCTGTGGTTGATGATTGTGTGCACCCAGCTTTTTATAACTGTAATAATCTAAAATTCCATGATGAAAAGCTAAGCCTTTTGGCATGATGGATCGAAAAATGCAGTGGGTCACCAACACATATATAGTTATCCAAAGAGCCAAGATGCTGATACATTTTCTTTCAAAAATGAAGATATAACAAACTATTTCCTTCATTTATTGAAGAAATTTCAACATATTTAGGTATGGAAACAATGCTTATATGCGAAGTCAACATTCTGTTAATGCACTTCTTGTGAAGTCAAATTTCTGATGTCCAAGGCATTCATAGAGAAGTCTGCCCTTGTTCTGAGAGAGAAACCAGTTCTCCTCCTGGGTTTGTTCCATCTGGGACCCTGGTGGATCGGATGGTGCCTGCCAACATTGAGGGCAGATCTTCTCCACCTAATCCACTCAAACTCACACACTAATGTCATCTGGAAACATTCTCACAAACACACCCCAAAAAATGCTTTAATAGTTTTCTAAGTTTTAATCCAGTCAAGTTGATCTCTAAAATTGAATCCACAGGTCCACCCCTTGACAACTTGGCTCCTGTAAGTATCTCCTTAACCATATTTAATTTCCAAATAAAGACCATAACAACTGCCTAACATGATGCAATTAACGTGATGCAATCATCCTGCATGTGACCAAAAACTAATCCTTTCCCCAGAATTCATCTTTCAAGATTTCATATTCAAGATTTTAATGTTTTGAAATTATCATTTTCAGGATTGTAGACATGAGAGATTTTAGACCTATGGGATTTAGACTTTTGGGATTTGTGAAAATCTTTTCAGATTTCAACGTTCAGGATTATGGCATGTGGAATTGTGTCTTTCAGGATTATGATCCAAATCCATTTTTGAAAAGGTCACTGTGAGCTAGAGGTCTGAGCATATTTCTGGAAATATTTTGGTGCCATACAGGTTTTTAATACTTTTTTTTTGCCTATATGTCTGCATGAAAAGAAATGGGATTATGATAACTTTGAAATAACATTTTACATTAGGATTCAATTTCCACTCTCATTTACTACAAATTGAGAGCCTGTATTTTTTGACCCTTGTTCTTTTTTACCTTTTTCTTTGACTAATAATGTATATAAAATATAATATTTAGATGGATTTCCAATAAATGCTTATTTCATTGAATTTGAATTTATTATATTGAAAGTTTTTAAACTACCCATCTAATCTTGCCTGACATTTGTATTAGCTTGTTACAGTTCCTGTAATAGAACATATTGTCTTCGTCCCCCAAATTAGTAAAATGTAGTTTTATAAATACCCCAAAAGAAACAGAGTTACATTCCTTTACTGGGATTGTTGAGATGGTGTAAGAAGAATTAACTAAACATTTTTAATAATAGAAATATAGTCATCAATATAGTTGATGGTTGTTTTAATGATACCCATTTTTCTTCTCAGAAATAAGTGGGTTTTTTTGTAAGTATCCAATGTCTTTTCACTGTAAAATATTTTTTTATTCTCAAGAGTTAAAGAGAAGATGGCTAATGGAAAAACATGCTACAAGAATGCTGGGATGAAATGTAAATAAATCTCATGTTAAATTATGTTCAAAATCAAGAAGACACATTATTTATACTATTTTATATGGAATGACCTTCCTGGAACCTTTGAGAACTAGGGTAATTACTAACTCAGTCTTTTGGAATTTTATTCTATTTTTTGTTTATGATTATAAAAGCTGAGAGATTCTTTTTAAAAAATCAATTGTGATTTGAAAGTGTAATCTAAACTTCAAAAGACAAAAGGATAGGCATATTATCAATACTGTGATTTTATTATCCTTCTTGTATGTTCATCATAATTTTTTGTATTCTCTTAAAAATCACTCTGAAGCAGATTTTTCATCAGTAGATAATATAAAATTTTATTCAGAATATTTCAGATAATGATTTGTATCATTTTGGTAAAGGACAAGATGGGAAACTGGGTAATATAAATGCTAGACCTACTTGGTTAGTTATTTATTACCTGTATTTCCTTAAGCGACTCTCTTTAAAGCTTTACTCCAATAGTGAATTCTTTTGTAATCAAGTCTCCTTAGTTTCCTCATGAGTGAATTTCAATTAATGTTTTTCTCAATATAAGAAGTTTTTGTTCTGATCTCACCACAAAAAAAAAAAAGGTAACTAACTAGCAGAGGTGATGGATTTGTAGCTTGATTATGATAATTATTTCACAAGGTGTAGGTATATCAAATCAAATTGTACAGCTAAAATATAAAGAATGTTGTTTGGTTTGTCAAATATACCTAAATTTAAAAAATGTTCTTTAAATAGAAGTTTTGCAGAATTAAAAAAAAAAGTTGTTTGAAAGAAATCTTACATCTCCACATGTAAACAGATAAAAGTGGAGCTCTGCTGGTTCCAAGGAGAAGCTTCTTTTGAGGAAACTTAGGCAACTCCCAGGTACCCAATGTCATGAGGCAGAGTTTGCAAACTGTGATTGACTATCTCTAATTTTCTAATTTTATCTCTAAATTTCCTCCCAGGTCTAAAATGTGATGATAGTTACTACATCAATACATTATCCTCAGGGAAAATTGTTAGGCCCGCACTGTTTTTAATCTTTGCATTTTATATGTGAATTTCTTAATCAGAAGTTTATTTGTAATATCAGATGGAATCAGATCTTTTTTTTTTTCACTGATTAAGAACAAAAGATTTTGTTGTGTAGCTTAAGTAAAATACAGTTTGGAATACATATTTTTTAAAAATTGTAACATCTATTCAAATACAATTTTTCAAGAAGTATTTAGTGGAAATTAATCTGTGAAACAAGAGGAGTTCAGCAGTGGATTATGTGATGAATGATTTAACATATTTATTTCTTCCCTTTCATCAAAACTCTGTGTCCCCTTGTCTGCCTCCTCTGACTGCATACTCTGTAGTTAACCAAGATCCCTATTCTATCAGATTGTTCTGGGAATTTTGAAATAATCTGCTTTTTCCTCTTTTCCCTTTTGCTTCTGATGCCTTAGACTTACATTTTCCTCACTGATTTAGTTTAGAAAAGAGAAAAGAGCTTCCATGACTAGTAGATTATCACTTTTGGGTTTGTTCTTGGAAGTGACAAGATGCTAGGATCCTACTTTGGAATGTAAAATGTATCTCTTATATAGAAATGATATAAATGTGTACCAGAGACTATAAAACTCTGATACTATCTACTGTACTGTATAGCTGAACACCACAATGTGTCTGGGAATCTATTGACTATCATAAATGGTATTTCTACAGAAAAGTTAAGAGGTTCATATTTTGGGCAACCAATGTATAGTTGAATGCAGAACAGTCATAGTTGGGTACTAACCATATTGATTTATCCATCAACAGGTGCATATGCTTAGAAATTCTGTATTCATAAGAAGTCAGAGTATTTTCTTCTCCTTTTGCAAGTAAATTTAATTTAGCTTAAGAGGATGAGAGGGGAAATTTTCACAAATAAGCCATGGTTTTGTGTTTTGTTTTGTTTGCAGATATAGTACTAACTACATGGGTGCAATACAATTCATAGGTGGTACTAAGATACGGTAGGATTTGTGAAATGGACAATTATCTTGGATAAATAGCAAGTAAAAAAATCAAGGTCCTTCATAAAAGTTTTTTTCTGGGGTGTGCTTGCTTTCCAAAACTACCTCTACTAAATCTCCTGTTAGTCCTGAAACTAGAAGGCAGAAAAGCTTCTAGTGGTACAGCCAACTGCAGTGTAGCCTGAGAAACAGGCAACAAAAATAGAACACCAGGATTGCTGTGCGTGGGTGAGGCAGAAACCACATTATGAGCAAAAGCTTCCAGTATTATTTTAGAACCAATACAGAGCTCTGCACTTCTCTCCTCTCTATTCCAAAAACACATACTACAAAAATAAAATGAAATGAAATGTATGTGCATTTGCCCTCTTAGAATTATGATTCTTAATTTTTTTTTCTTGCCTTCCTTTCTTTGGAAGCAAATCGCCAGTATGGAAACACAGTGTGTAAAGCAAGCTCCGAGGGAGGAAAGAGTTAATTGCTTTTAAGGCCCTGCAATAGAGAATTATGGTTTGAAAGATAGAGGCTGGACAGCTGGGTTTGCTTGGGTATTTTTAAATGCATTAATGCAGGCTCCAATCACTCGGCCATGCTTGACCTATTTTTGGCTCAGGCCGACCATTGTTCTATTTCTGTGCCTGTGGGCCATGCTGTTGTTGATTCATATGCAAATGGATTATCACTTGCTTTAGCCAACTTGAGCTGAGCGAGACTGAGAAAGGGGGAAGAGAGGCACAGACGCAGATAGGAGAAGGGCACCGGCTGGAGCCACTTGCAGGACTGAGGGTTTTTGCAACAAAACCCTAGCAGCCTGAAGAACTATAAGCCAGGTTTAATTGGTTTCTTTTTCTCGTGGGTAGACTTAATAATTTTCTACTTATTCTGACAAAGAAATAACCCCGAAGCACGTTTCTATTTCCCACCTGCTTGTTGTTTCCCGGATAACCTAAACTCCAGAGAGCTATAGCATCCACTCTATCCTTTCTGCTTTGCACACAGGTTGGTAACATGGGAAAAGTGTCCAGATCTTTTTAAAAGTGGATGTCCATTTGAGCAGAAAGGAAATCATTGTCGAGGTTGATTCTCTGCTGCTTCTCCTCAGGGAGGAGGGAGAACCAGTGAGGGTAGCTCCTGGGGCCGGTGCACTGAGCAGTGATGAATGTTTCATGTAGCTGAAGTAAGAGTGACTGGATTATGCTGCAGACAATTTACTAGAGTGACTCCTGTTTTTCCTCAGATGGGGTGGCTGGACGAGAGCAGCTCTTGGCTCAGCAAAGAATGCACAGTATGATCAGCTCAGGTAAGATCCTCTTTCATAACTGAGACGTTTTAGGTTTGAAAGGGGGCTGGCTTGGGAAATGCAGCTAAGAAAAGCACCTCTCTTAAGGAAATTGCTGCTTTTTCGTGTTGATGTTGCTATTTTCTTGGTGCGTCTGTAGGGTTTAACTTAGATCCCTTCCATTACTGTTTCTGTGAATATTCTGTCTGCCTAGGGACAGCAGCTTCTGAATGAAATTGCAAACTATTGCTTCTGATGAAAGATGAGACTGAGATAAGTAAAATGTAGTTGGAGGTGTTTTCACCTTTACTATGCCACTAGAAAAAGGAGATCTGTACTGATTGTAAGCCTATTCTAATAGGACTTTAAAAATCAGGTAAGTTCATATTGGGGCTTCTGTTTTAGCCCCAGCTAGCCTGATGATTTTATATTTACTGTGTGCCTACAGAAGCACATCTATTTATAGACTACCTTCTAAAATGTGTTTGCTATAGAGTTATAAAGGTAGTTTTCTTTTTTCCATTATGTGCCTTTTTCTCAACAGCCCCAAATGAACCTGTTTAGGATGAAATAAAATTGTTATTAGCAGATGCTTATTTTAATTTTCTTCAGAAACATGTGGGAAGTCTAGCATTGTCAGGCAGATGCTATGGCATAACACACATGTAAATGTGTTAAAAGCAGGTACAGCATTTTAAAGGATAATAGGAACAGATTCTAATTTCTAGTTTCTCCAGGAGATGAGCTGGTGGGAGATGGAACTTGTCAGCTTTGTCGATTTATACATACTAAATGAATATACTCTCCAGGCAATATCACTTACTTGTAATAATTGCTTTTCATATTTATTTCCTATGGCTATTTCGTAAAGCTTTGGGAACTCTTTGTTTCTGTTCCCTTCTGAATGTTTCAACCTAAAATTGGCTTAAAGTTCTCACTTAGATCCCACTTCCCATGTGGGCTTAATGGTAATTATAGATCACCGCCTAGATTTCCATGATAAGAATTCCATATAAAGCAGTGTTTACTTTGTAGAGCTAGGTGTGAAAGAAATACTCCACAGGTTGGCATGATGTCTGTTTTGGTGTTAATACACCTTCCCATATGGGGATCTATGTTAAAGCTAGTTTTCTTTAAACCTTTGGTTAGTTATGATGTTTTTAAGATCAAAGCTTCTGTTGACCCAGTGTTCTCATGGAATCACAATAAAATATCAATTTTGCACAATTTGGTATTTATACTCTTAAGTGACAGGAATCATGGTAATGACTAGTGCCTTTTTAACAAAAGCAAACCTACCAGAATTTCAGTACCATTTATTCTTGGAGCTGCAAAGCTGACAAGGTCTCCGCGAGGGTTTAGCAGGTATGTCTCTAATGGGACTGGTCGTTTAACTTAGCATTTTATTTTTAAAATATGGATGAACTCTTTGAAAATAACTGTTTTAGAAATCTTTTCAGTACTATGCTTTATCTTTTTAGTTCTCACATCTGTGTTTCAAGTTTGATATTTCTTTCATATGGTAGAAACGTACATGCCTTCCAAGTAGCAAGTGTCTGCTGACTCTGAGGCTGGCTACAGGTGTTTGCAAGTTTTGTATTTTTTTCTCCACATCTTTGATAATCACACACAACTTTACACCTATTTCAGTAGAGATGGTCATTTTCCTAGCATTTAGTAGTTTGTATAAAAAGCAATAAGATGTTCAGAGAGGCTGTCCATGCTTTTGCCAGTTCTACAAGAAGCAGCATTTAAGTGCCAGCTATTAAATGAAAGGTGATATAGATTAACATCAACTCCCAAGCTTGTCTGGTATAAATACATAATCACTAAGTTCTATTTATTTTTAAAACATGAAGCATAGAAACAATGGCATTCTTCCTACCATAGCATACATTTCATATATGTTCTTAAATTTAATTTACCTAGTCTTTATTATATATTTCCTGTGAGGCACTGGTTCTCAAAGGTGGACTTACCAGTAGCTCTTACAAAATATGATACCTAGATTTCACTCCCGGAATTTCTGATTTAATTGGTGTGGGGACAGCGTGGGCATTGAGGTTTTTAAAATCTCTCTACCTATTTTAACCTTCAGTAAACTGAGATCCACTACTGTCGGGCTAGGAAACGGATGGTGATGTTGGTGAGCCACTATCAGTAGGGTTTGTCCTTTGAGTTAACAGCTAATTTAGGGATGTGTTTGTCTTTATTTAGCTACAAATCTTGTTTAGCTCCCTTTTGGACCAGTGGTCTGGATGTGATTCATAGGCTTAGAAGTAGAGAGAGTCTTTGGATTTGAAAGAGAGAAAGGTTGCCTGGCAGCAGTGAAGAGGAGAGGAGAGAGCACTGTTTTAGGAGTCAAACGCTCTGTACTCTAGCATGAGCTCCACTGCTAGCCAATCGTGTACTGATTTTTTACTTGTCTTCAAACTGAAGAATAATGATGTCCTTCTGCTTGTCTCTTAGCATTCTTGTGAGGTTCAAATGTGTCAATATGTCTTTAAAAGCTATACTCATTATTATTGTTGTTGTTTTTAGTGAATGAACCTAGGATTCTGGCTTTTCAATGCCATGTTCCATCTTGCTGAACAAGCCAAATAAGTTACATTGTAGGTCACATGGGAGGGAATGATTGTTTGTTTTGATAATCAGTTTTCTTTAGTTATCTTTATAAATCGACTATTTCTTTTTTTATCTTGGTCTGATAAGAGTTAAGATTTTTTTTATGCAGATTATTACTATAGGTCAGAGTGGTTAGTGTGTGTGTGTGTTCTGTGAAATGTCTCATTATATAATAAAGGCAAGGAAGCTGCGCAGTATGTGATTGAACAGTGAACCCCAATGGCAGATTTCTTGAAATTATTTTTAAAACATTGGTTCTGCTGTGTAATTTCCTTAGCAATTGCTTTAGAGTTCCCATTTGTTGTTCTAGTTATATTGGATATTATGCACTAATATAGATGGTTTTTGTTCAGTGCTCTTTATATACTATTGGAATACAAGTGTTTTTTATGGTTCTGTGTTTTTCTGATACTGACTCAGCCAGGCTAACCATCTTTGGTAGAACCAGATTCTATAATATTGTACTAATATATTTTAGTTTAAAGTTTTATAATATTAGATCTTAGAATTCAGTATGAATGACACATTATGCCAAGTACATCCCTACTTTTGTGGCTTGTGTGGGCCAGTGTTAAGTGATAACTGTGGCAGAAACTGAAGCATGTGCAAATATTGACTCAGGTCACTCTGCAAGAGCTGGCAGGATTAGGGGTGTTCTCCCATTGCCAGGCATCTTATTTAACATGTTGGGCAGCAGAGCTGTCCAGATAATATTGGAACAATTATTACAAAGGAATTTCCTAGAGGTTGTACAGAAGTAATGTAACATATATTTACAATAAGGAAAACTCCTATTTTGGCCATTTATTCTTATTTTAGGGTATAAAAGAAAAACATTTAAATCAAAATCCTAAAATTATTTTATATGTCTTCACCCTTTTTGAATCCTTTTGTTCCTTGGTATGTGGTGTTGAGGGGAAGGAAACATTTTAGATTCAGTAGTCACGTCACTTATGTCTACTTGAAAAGCAGAATCTAATTATGAAAATGTAAGTCTGTAAAATGTTCCTGTCATGTCAAGAATCACTTCTGGTATTCCCCATAATTACTGTTTTGCCATTCTCTAACTCAGGTTATCTTCACTTGCAAATCTGTTATCAATTGAGAGAGTTGATAGGTATCAATCAGATATATAGTTACAAATAGGCTCATTGAGAATGGGGAAAAGAATAAGTATTTTATATTTCTAAGGATGACACAGGAGGAGGCATAATTATTGTATGTCCGTTAAGTAGGAAAATCCAATAAAACCCCTTAGATGAAAATAAATCCAAATTCTGAATTCAAAAAATATGCTAAATGATGATTTTGATTTCGGAGATGAGAGATTTTAAAAATGTACCTCATAATTTCTCACTACTGATAAATACTGAAGCGAGCTCAAAATAGCATGTCAGCCAACAAACACCCCTTGCACCCCTGCCACCCACTATATTCAACAGTATCTAAGTAAAGAAAACGATAGAACCTAATGCAATAGACCTCAGAGTCTATCCACCAAGGAAAAAAATGGAAGCAGAAGTTCTTTGATCATAACAGAGAGACCTGTCTCCTGGACTGTCTTAGAATTTTCCTGGCAAGTTGACCGTTCCTGAGAATTCTCACTAACATTCCCAAATCAGGAGAGAAGCAAACTGAATCCTCACCTTTTAGGGTTGTTCTTGTTTTCTCTTGTGACTGAGAAATAGTAGAAATGAAGACTTCAGAGCAGCACACTAAACTGGGAGAATGATCGATCCATAGCTCTTTGGAATGATGTATGTCTCGCCAACTAACCTTAGAGCTTCTACAAAGGAGAAACATCAACTCATTGAACCCATGGAATTAGATGTCTAAGCATTGCTTCCCAAAAGTAGAGAACCTTAATAAAAACATAAATTTTATAAAAGAAAAGCTCAAAGCTGAAATGATAAGAGAATGAAATGAGAAAGGAGATCTAGATCTCAGGAAATGAATTAAAAATAGAAAATCGTAATGATTATAGAAAAATATTCATTAGAAATAGTCTCAGGTGAAAATCTTTATACATAAAGATGAAAGTTTTGAAAAACTCAGAGTGAATGGAAAAGGAAAATGGGTTAATGCAATTAGAGAAAAGTCTATAAATTTTAAAGACAAAGATAATCTAACAAGATTATTTGTGTCCCAGAAGCTGATATTACAAAACAATGAAACAGAAGGTAATTTTGCAAAATGAAGAAAAGTAATTCACTGAAAAAGAAAAAAATTAATTTGCACATTGAAAGACCTCCCCATCTTTTGGAAAACTGGATGCAAATGCTCAGCAGATTCATATCCTAATTGGGCTAGCAAATGCTAAATGGTAAATAATTCCTCAGGAGTTCTAGTAGGTACAGTGGAGCCTATGGAAGGAGAGACTCAGAAGGCTTATCATA